AAATATTGTATGTGATGCGCACGCAATGTATCCAATTCCAAACCCCAACGTCTTTAAAACTCCCCTTTGTCGTACAACATGTCTCAATCCTCCATCCCAAGTTCCCTTAAGGCTTGCAATATCTTTCTTTGGCAAATGTCTTTGAACATCTCTACATCGCAGCCCTCTTCAACGCCAACTTCTTCAAAACAATCTTCACACGAAGAACCCTCCACGTTCCTTTGAACCTTCAATTCGTTTTGCTCACGCTTGTTCAAAACTTTGCCAACAACGAGCCCTTCTCTGCACCCATGGCCCAACCCTCTTTAAACTGCATCCCAAGACCCTTGAAACCCTCAAGTCTTTGTCGTCGACCCTGCACAAACATCTACTACATCTCCTAGAGCCACTCATCAACCAAGTTGCCTCCGCTAAATGTCCTTTAGGTCCATGTTGCCCCACGCTTGATTGAACATCTTCTACAGCCAGCGTTAAACATTCAATAAGGCTTCTTCAACTCCGTCTTTTTTATTTTTGTTCATCGTAAAACTGTTTCACTCCTCTTTCATCCGAAATTCCTTTCAGGCTGCTAACGAGCTCTACCCAATAAACCATAAATCCTAAACCCTATAGAAAAGAAACAGACCGGCGTGGCAAACGCATCCAAAAGTGCCAAAATATTAAATCTTGTGTAACCAAATCAAAAAGAAAGGACAAGGAAGTTATACAATGTTATTCAAAGGAAGTTTGGGGCGCAAAACTTCCGTGTTATGGACTTTCAAAAGCTGTTACTACCACTACCACTACCACTACTACTACTACTTCTACCACCACCACTACTACTACTACTACTACCACTGCCACTACCACTACCACTACCACTACCACCACCACTACTACTACTACTACTACAACTGCTACTACTACTACTACTACTACTACTACTATTACATACACATACCACTACTACTACTACTACAACTATCACTACTACTACTACTACTACCACTACCACTACCACTACCACTACCACTACCACCACTACTACTACCACCGCCACCACTACTACTACTACGAGTATTACCTCTACTACCACTACCGCTACCACTACCACTACTACTACTACTACTACTACTGCCACCACTACGACTACTGCTACTACTGCTACTACTACTACTACTACTACCGCTAGTACTACAACATACAACATACAACATACAACATACAACATACAACAACAGCAACAACAACAACAAGTACCACTACTACTGCTACGACTACGACGACTACTACTACTACCACAACGACTACGACTACGACTACGACGACTACGACTACGACTACGACGACGACGACGACTACTAGTACTACTACTACTACTACTATTTCTCCTGCTACTACTACTACTACTACTACTCAGCTTTAGCTCCAGTCAGCTCTAGCTTTATAGTTAGCTCTAACTCCAGTCAGCTGTAGCTCTGGTCAGCTCTTCAACATGCACTTTGGAAGGAATTCTCGTACAAAATGCGTGTTCGAGAGAAAGCAGACGCGCGAAATGCTGTGTTTTTCAATACAAAGGGTGGTTCCGAACCTGGCAAGGCTAGCTCTGCGGAAAGACGGTTGCGGAATGGCCTCGCGTCATGCTCGGATCATGGTCGAATCGTCCCTCCATTGTAACTAGAGTTTTTCACCTGTGTCTAATGTGCATTTCGACTGCGCAGGCTCACACAATGTGGGTGCCCCGGGCGGGTGCTTCTAACGACTGCGCTCTCGTTGTGGCGCCGTGCGCATTTTCGCACGTGGTGATCACTTTTCGTGGCAGGCGCAGGGGAACCTTACCTCGTGTTTTGGTGCTTGCAAGTCGATTTTCGTGACAGGTGCTAGGGATCGGAGCTGTTTTACTTCGAAATGCAGTTTTCATGGCAGGGGCAGCGCTTTGGACATGGTGGTGATCGTCGAGGAGCTCAGATTTCGTGAGAGGTGCAGTGAATCGTGACTGTTGGACGTGTGGCTCGTTTGCAGATTTCGTGGCAGGCGCAGCAATGGGTGAACGTCGAAGTGCAGATTCGTGGCAGGTACAGCACTTGGTGAACCGCGAAGCGCAGAATTCATGGCAGGCACAGCGCTTTGTGAACCTCGCAGTGTAGATTTCGCGGCAGGCGCAGCACTTGGTGAACGTCGAAGTGCAAATTTCGTGGCAGGTACAGCACCTTGCGAACCTCGCAGTCAGTGATTTCGTGGCAGGCACACCTTGGTGAACCTCGAAGTGCAGATTTCGTGGCAGGCACTGCGCTGTGTGAACCTCGCAGTGCAGATTGCGTGGCAAGCGCACTACTTGGTGAATCTCGAAGTGATTTCGTGGCAGGCGCAGCGCTGGGTGAACCTCGAAGTGCAGATTTCGTGGCAGGCGCAGCGCTTAGTGAACCTCGAAGTGCAGCACTTAGTGATTTAGTGAACCTCGAAGTACGAATCTCGTAAGAGGCGCAGTACTTTGTGAACCTCGAAGTGCAGATTTCGTGGCAGGCGCAGTACTTTGGTACAAATGTAGTACGGGAAAGAGCTTTTCGGAGCTGGACTCAGAAGTGGCCAGTTTGTAGTGCAAATGTAGTGCGGGAAAGAGCTTTTCGGAGCTGGACTCAGAAGTGGCCAGTTTGTAGTGCAAATGTAGTGCGGGAAACAGCGTGCGGAGCTGGACTCAGAAGTGTTAGCTTTTAGTCCGTGACAGACGGTGTGGCGAAATTACGTCCGTGATGTCGCCGCGCCATGCGGATTTGCGCGGCCTTGGTGGAAAGTGCGTTTGCGTGGCGCCGTGCCACTGGGGAGCACGAAACATGCTGGTGTAAACGCGGCGTGTCGCTGGTGAGCTGGATGATTGGCGGTATCATGTGATATGTTTGCTTCTAGTGTGTAGGCAGACCGTGTGGCGAAATTACGTTCGTGATGTCGCAGTGCGCTGCGGATTTGCGCGGCCTTGGTGGGGAGTGCGTTTGCGTGGCGATGTGCCACTGGGGAGCGCAAAACATGCTGGTGTAAACACAGCGTGTCGCTGGTGAGCGGGGTGATTGGTGGTTACCGACAAACAGTTCATCCCTCAGTTTCGTTTTCGTTTGTAAGCGTTTCGTTATAATTTGCTTACTCCTACTATGCTTTCGGGCCACCTTGTCGTCTAGTTTGTTAACAGGTCAGCTTGTACTTATGGTTGAAGTTTTTTGGCACAGTTTATACTTACAGTCTTTGGTTGCATTCATTGTTAAGAGTCTGGTTGCGCAAGTATGACAGGTTGTACATGCAAATGCGGTGTCCTGTGTAACTACATTCACTCCGACGTGCGGTGGTGTGACCCGCGTGCACAGTGCCAGAGCGACTACGCCGTTGTGGGCTGCTTGCATGACGCCATCGTTGCGGGCCGGGAAACAAGGGGGTCTGCAGGGCATGCGCGAAGGGACGCTCCTATAGGTCAAATTGTTTTTATAGGAAACTTCCGCCGCCGGCTCGCCCGGGAACTGCCTGTAGATATATATATATATAGATCACACTTCGCAGCTTAGGAATTACAAATGCCCGCCCAAGAACCAAAGAAACAAACACACACTTATTGAATTGCGTACTGATTTGGTTGCGGTTGGCCACACGCCGGGCCTGAGTTAAGAAACCTGAGATACCAGGAGGACAAGTAGTAGCTAAAGTTAAAGGCCATCGCTTTTAGGTTGGAGGCCATCACAAGGAAGTTGGGGGCCAACGCCTAAGGTTGGAGGCCGTCGCTAGTAGGTGGTAGGTAGTATGCACAAGCAAAACAAAAGTGACAAGTAGTAAATTAAAGGCCATCGCAAGGAAGTTGGGGGCCAACGCCTAAGGTTGGAGGCTGTTGCTAGTAGGTGGTAGGTAGTACGGTAGTATGCACAAGCAAGACAAAAGTGACAGCGAGCAGCAAGGTTGGAGGTCGTCGCTAGTGGGTTGGAGGCCATAGTACCAGGTTGGAGGCCAGTGCTGCAAGTTTACAAGACACACAAGAAACACAAGACAGCCAAGGTTAGAGGCCAATGCTAGTGGGTGGAGGCCAAAGAATTCAGGTTGAAGGACCACATTACAAGTTTGGAGGCCTACCTGCAAACCTATAGGGTAGAAGAGAGGAAAAACAGAAGGAAAGGCACCGACACACAAGTGTGTCGAGTACCATTTCCTTCTGTTTTCCTAAATAGTGGAGCAGGTACGTGGAAACGGCGTCCCATTTCCATATCCTCAGATACATCGCCAGCTTCATTGACCAGGCGACGATGTATCTGGCCTGGTCCCCTGCTGTAAAGGGTAACACTCCAAAGGGAGCCTTGTGACTCCAAAGGTTACACACACACACCATAGAAACAGCACATGCTTGGGGCCAAAAGCAACAGTGGTAATTGAGGTAGCCCTTTTCGACACAAAGGTTTCTTAAGTATCCGACCTGACCTCCCTATTGATTTTGTGACCATTGACTCCTGAATGTTTGTATGCCATTGCAAACAAACGCTCCTCGCAACGACTGAATCGTGCAACACTGCTTGTTTTTCATTTTTTTAAGCCAGTGATGACAGCGCCTGCACACTGTTGGTCTCTTTTCGAAGCCTTCGAGGTTGAGCTCCCTTGCCCTTCCTTTAAAGCCCCTGAACGCACAAAACAGCCGACTCCCGATTCAGTCACTGGATTTCTTGGGTTCTCACCCCAGTGAATTCCATCCTAGCCCTCTTCGTCCATCATATCACAATAGACGTTATCAATCGTCAATATATAATATATACTTATATACCCCAAACATCTCCAAACTAAGCTATCAGGTTGCTTTACTCCCCGATGGAAATGCAGGATATGGGCAGGCAAAAGAAGCAACAGTGACAGTGGGCGAAAAATGTATGGGACAGGAGGTAGGCGGCAAGGTTTCTATAAGTGAATGAATCAAAGGAATAAAAACGTGGTGCCGAGCTTGTAAGAAGCAGGGCAATGCCGACCAATTCCTTCGCAAAACAGCCTGGTGCCAACCTTTTACAGTCAAGTCCGTTGGCCCACCTTCGCTCCCTATCTTCGCAGCCTGCCTTTCCCCCGTCCGCTCTTCCAACTTCACTTCCTATCTTTGCAGAAGTCTCCGAGTCGCAAGCGGAAGTTCATCCTCAACTCTGCTACAAACGACCTATGGATAAAACACGCAAACGCCACAACCGCGACACCAAAGCTGCAGGAATGTCAGACTATGCTTGACCAATCCGGTTCAATTTTGTGAGATGGACTATGGAGCCCTCGACAAGCAATCCAAGAAGCACAGCCAACAAAAAACCAACGAAGCGAAGCATGCTGCATCGTCCAATGCATCAAATTTTAATGGTCTGTTGGCTTTTTTTGCTCAACCACTCATGGCGCACAATAGCGTATGGCATATTGAATTGCTACTGTTAGTTTTCAATGATCCCAGGATACTGTGCTCCTCCAACAACTCCACAAGCATTCTCTTGTGAAAACTTCTTCTGAAAGCTTCTCATGCTGCACTCAATGCCCACTCCACTGCAATGACAAGCACATGCAAACAGAAAGAACATGTCACGCTCTTGGGGCCAATGTAATTAAGCCCTGAGGAAACCAATTGGAAGCACAGTGACTCCAAGCAAGTAAACATGCAAACTCTCAGTGTGAAACTCTTCGATGACCGCCAACCCCTGATACATTTGCCAACTGGACTGAAGCAACACTCCCGATACCGGCATTGTTCCACATTGAGTGAATTGATCGATCAACGGATACCCCTCCCAATTCCAAATCTTTGATGTTTTCAAACTCCCCTAAACCCCGAGGACTTTTCTGCAGCTTGTCTGGGCCGCGGAAACCGCCGCACTAACTTGTCGGTGAAACCCATGCGTGCTGCCAAACGACGTGCTCTAATTTCAGGCGGAGTGTGCTTACTTACGAACCTAAAAGTAACGAAGATTTTAGAGAGCTTTCGTGCTTACGAATGAGCATGGCATGGCCAAGCGACAGCCTTTCCAAACAACTCAGAAAAGGCTCTGGCGGCCAGCAAGCTCGACCTGGCATGAACCGTCACCACTCTCACCGAGCCGATCAACCAACACCGCTGGAAAGAACAGTCAATCAATGACCCTTCTTGAACTGACTTTCAACACCAAAGCAAGCAACAACCAATCAGGCGAAACAGCCTCGGCAACATGTTCCAAGCCGTATCCACAAGGCATTGCGCAAGAGTGCCGGTGTTGCCCCAGCGTCCGCGGAACACGTTGCATGTTTTTCCGGCGGTGCCTGGTCGCACCGGCGCAAGCAACCCACGAAAGCAAAACGGAAAGCTGGCGAAAGTTCCCAAAACGATCAGGCGACAGGACACTTTTGTGACTTGTTCTTTGATCAACAACTTGGCAGCGGCATGCGAGCCAAGCGGTGTTGTTCTTTTAGCATGAAAGGGCACCCTCCAGGGCCGAAGGGCCGAAGGGCCGAAAGGTGCAATCCAGACGAACTGGTGAAATGCCATGCTCGGAATGCTCTCACATAATGCATGGTGCAATGGGGTGACGCGTATGTATGGTGCTTTGTCATGTGGTGAAGTTGTGCGTGGTGATTGTGATATGTGTGGAGTGTGCTTAAATGTAATGTAACGAGTCTTGGATGGTGATTTGTGGCGAGTGGTGATACGTTGTTTGTGATGTGGTGAAGGGATTAAGGTATACATTTCTGATTTGGTACCATGTGATGCACGGCACTCTTTGCTGCAACTATTCGTGACTGGGACCTATCTGATCTGTTCAAAGCTTCACCTTCACTATCAAGCACTATCAAGACACTTCTGCCTAAAGTGGTCTTAGCTGCCAAACTGAGACCATCACCCAAGGCTCAAGGATTTCGGACAGGAGGGCCTTAGAAAGTCGCCCAAACCAAGCCCCTTCTCTTTGAGTCATTGAAACAAGTTGGTTTTGCCAGCTATACGGCCTCTTCGCCAGCTGCCAGGATAGCGTCCGCGCGAACAAGCTCTTCATGTAAGCGCTGCAATCCCTGAATACCGCACTGACCGAAACAATCCGATCAGCAGCTTGCTTGGACCGTCAATCTGTTTGTGCTCGCGCGCCTCTGGGCTAAGACCCGCTCCAAAGTTTCTTCCAGGGTCGAAGGGATCCTTGTTCGGTGTGAACAAATATACTATTTTGTTTTGATACTTCAGCCGATGTATACGGACTCGACCTCATAGTTGCATCATGCAAGTATAGAATGTCCTCAATTTGCACACTCGGGTGAAGCACTTCTGGGTCATCAACGGCTTGGGGCCTTGGCTGCTAGTCACTAGCTGGTCAAACTACAAACTATATCTCGGGAAATGACTTTGGGCAGGATCTTTCGCCGCGACGGAGTGATACAACCTGCAATCACTTCAGGCTTAAAAATGCTTAACCGCCGTGGCTTGTGGAAGTGCCTGCCTCCTGCCGCAAATCAATCTGTCGGTAAAAGCCTGGAGAATCTGAACAAAGTTCTTTCGTACAAGGCAATCGGTGCATCGTGCATTGCATCGGTGCAAAAGCTGTGCCTATGAAGCTTGAGAAAAGGCACCCAACTGTGGCGCTCTCCGAAGGGCCAGTCTGGCAATCGCCTTTATTGCATCAATTCCGGCACTGCTCGAAAAAGAACCGTACGTCACATACTTACTTCGTGGTGTTATGCTCTCCAAGGCACTCATGTGGCCAGTTTGAACCTGAGCGTGATCGGCTAAATGCATCAAGGCACTCATGCGCAAGTGCTGCCCTGATCAAATAAAGCGCCACACCGTGTAGTCACTTCCCGATTTCCTTAACACGTTGCTTGAACATTAACGTGATGCTCCATGGTGAGGACTGACAGCTGCAATCAAGCATCATCCCTGTCATAGGCGGTAGAAGTTTCTTCACCTGACGTGTGGCAACAAACCAGTTATAAAAACTTGGATCAAGATTCAAAACCTGCAGGAAGAATATTGCCAGCAATGTCCAACCATATGGAGGCAAATGTCCCCGTGCAACGTGACACCTCGGAGCACGTTGCGATTCTCGAGGCCACTCGCCCAGTCCACATGGCACATTCAGTGACATCTTGGGCATGCACACGCCTCGATCTTTTGACCATCGCCTCATCTTTAACAATCGTTGTTTTGATTTGGTTTGTTTTCACTAAAGGTTTTGTTGACCATGCTCCAATCTGCAAATTTTCAATTTTGCTGAACTCAGTGAGGCCCTGACCTGACCAGCAATATAAGTCCTCGTGATCGTACGTCAATCCTGTAGCGTGTTGATTTGGAATACTTGTGACAATTTGTGGCATAGTCAGTACGGACTCAGAACCCACATGATTTGGTTCAATCAAGCAAGTGTTCTTTATATAGGGGTTTGGCTCTCCAGATGCTGCAACGAGAGCTGCGTGACAGCCAGGTGTAGCCTGCACCGCAACGATCGCTAGTGCTTGCCAGGGCTTAGCCCTGGACATGCTGGAACATCGTTCAAAACTTACCCGACTTGTGTAGCTAACTTCAGCTAAGCTTCGAGCACAGTTCACAGAGAACTCTACTGGAATGCCTTGGCCGGAGACCTGGAAAGGCCAGTTTTAAAGCCATTTCTAGTAGTTCACAATCATGCACCCTTTTAACCTTTGTACAAAATATACCTGATGGCCGCCTTCCTTGCCTCATATCGTGCACTTCAAATTCAGACTATACAGCGCTCTCAGATGTCTGCAAACCACTAAGATCTGAAGCAGCAGACACAGTCAACATACAACAACAGTTTTAGCATCACCACGTTGCACCTTGGAAACCTCGCAGCTGTTTTCAAAACAAGATGGAACCCACGAACCCGAATGCAAGCACGCTCGACAAGCTACATATGTCCAAATGACACTCTTGTAGGACACTCTTGTGGGACACTCTTGTGGGTCACTCTTGTAGGAAACTCTTGTAGGAAACTCTTGTGGGACACTCTTGTGGGACACTCTTGTGGGACACTCTTGTGGGACACTCTTGTGGGAAACTCTTGTGGGACACTCTTGTAGGACACTCTTGTGGGACACTTTTCTGGGACACTCTTGTAGGACACTCTTGTGTGGGACACTCTTGTGTGGGACACTCTCGTGACACTCTTGTAGGAAACTCTTGCGGGGCACTCTTGTAGGGCACTCTTGTGGGTCACTCGTGTAGGAAGCTCTTGTGGGTCACTCTTACGGGACACTCTGGTAGAAAATTTTTGTGGGACACCCTTATAGGAAACCTGTGGGACGCTCTTATGGGACACTCTTGTGGGACACGCTTGTGGGACACTCTTTGCAGGAAACTCTTGTGGGACTCTTGTAGGACACTCTTGTGGACACTCGTGTGGGCCACTCTTGTAGGAAACTCTTTACGGGACACTCTTGAGGGACACTCTTCTGGGACACTCTTGTAAAACACTCTTGTAGGACACTCTTGTGGGTCACTCTTGTGGGACACTCTCACGCAACAATCTTTTGGGCCACTCTTCTAGGACACTCTTGTGGGTCCCTCTTACGGGCGACTTTTGTAGGACACTCTTGTGGGACACTCTTGTAGGGCACTCTTGTGGGACGCTCTTATGCAACACTCTTGTGGGACACTCTTATGGGACACTCTTGTGGGACACTCGTGTGGGACACTCTTGTGGGTCACTCTCACGGGACACTTGTAGGACGCTCTTGTGGGACACTCTTGTCGGACACACTCTTATGAGACACTCTTGTAGGGTTCCTTTGCGGGTCACTCTTACAGGACACTCTTGTGGGACACTCTTCTGGGAAATTGTTGTGGGACACTCTTGTGTGACACTCTTGTGGGACACTCTCACAGGACACTCTTGTGGGACACTCTTCTGGGACACTCTTGTCGGACACTCTTCTGGGACAGTCTTGTGGGACACTCTTGTGAGGCACTCTTGTAGGACACTCTTGTGGGTCACTCTTACGTGGGACACTCTTGTGGGACACTCTTGTAGGACACTCTTGTGGGTCACTCTT